GCATTGTATTTAATTAGCCCTCCCCCCCCATCCATCCCTCATTTGGGTAGGTAGGGTCACCTGTACATTACCTGAAGTCGATGTCGGGGGTCACCGCCCTAACGGCCCAGTCTCAGATTAGGCCTCCCGGTTGCTGGCCTGATCGATCAGGCCAGGAACCGTGCCAGCCCCACGCATACCAATGTACGCATCACAGCCCAGCTAATTAAGAACTGATTTGAGGAACTTATCAGGTTTTGTTTTCAAGAAAACTTACGCATGAAGGGAGGGTGTTGAATCTACGACCCTTTACACTTAGATTTGTCTATCAGTGTACTAATCACGTCCCTGCATTTTACTGGAAATATTTTGCACCGTTTGCCAATCATCTTGCTTTCATATGGGAAGATTTCGGTGTACAGGTCTGGGACCAATACCTCCCCACGTTCCAAGGAGTACAATTCGAGCAACATAACAGTGTGACCACACAACATTCGTTATTTAGTTATTTAACATTCGACTAATAAACAAAACTATTTCTATAAAGTGAAGTACAATATACAATTGACATGGGAGTAACTGACATATATAAACCACTTTATAGACAGCAGCTTGTGGCCAGGCCAGCAACTGTTAGGAAACTTGCCCATATATTTCTCTCAGCCTGGAAATAGAGCCCAGGTTATTACTGCATTCATGGGAAAGTGATTTACACAGAATGAGAGGCAATCAGGTTTGATACGAAGTACAGGGTAGCTCCAATTCCTTGGATCAAGAATCCTTCACTAACATCAAGGCACCTTCTTCCCCCCCCCTCCCCCACTTTCCCTAGTGAAGGGACCACTGAGCCTGAGCCAAGTCAGTCAACTAGTGAGCTACAAGTCACATACGGAGGACGGCAGCCAAGACCCTGAACACGTGTGTGTGTGTGTGTGTGCAAGCATACCCAGATGGGAAGCCTGGGGTATATAGTATGAGCTAATGTTGTCTGAGGAAAGGGAGAGTAGTGGTGGGCGGGGCAAGGAAAGACCAGACAGTTTGGTGGGATGGGAAGGCGAGAAGTGGAGAAGACGCTGGGCGGAGAGTTGTGTGTTGGTACCCGCCGGCTGCCTCTTCTCTCCCGCAGTTCCCAACCACCTCCCTCCTCACTTGCTTTCCTGAAATATCCCGGTTCAGGCTAACAGATTTCATCACTTAATACACTAAACCCATCCTGTGATGGGGTACACAAGAGAAACATGGCTAGCTTTTGCTCCCCACTGTGTTACTATCATAGAGGAGGAAAGTAAAATTCACCAGAGAAACTTCATCCATTACTCCTGGCTCGGGATACTGATGAAGTATGCTAGAGGGAAATAATCTCCTCATATCAGGCATGATTTAATGTTAATACTAATAGTCTAACACAGTGAAAGTACCTTAGCTCAGTAGTAGACGACTCGGCTCACAACCAAAAAACCCCAAGACATATGGACAAGTGTCTGCTGCCCCTGTTCGCCTAATAAAAAATATCTAGGAATTGCCTGGACCTGGAGGTCTACCTGGAGGTTATTCCGGGGATCAACGCCCCCGCGGCCCGGTCCACGACCAGGCCTCCCGGTGGATCAGGGCCTGATCAACCAGGCTGTTACTGCTGGCCGCACGCAGTCCAACGTACGAGCCACAGCCCGGCTGATCCGGCACAGATTTTAAGTATCTGTCCAGCTCTCTCTCTTGAAGGCAGCCAGGAGTTTACTGATAATTCCCCTTATGCTTGGTGGGAGGCTGTTGAACAGTCTAGGGCCCCGGACACTTATGGTGTTTTCTCTTAGTGTACCAATGGCGTTAGTCGACTGTCGTGGGCCGAATCCTAGGAAAGGATCCCCCTTCCCCATTGCTTGGCGTTCTTGGATTACCCTGGGCTACCTACCTGAAGTCTACCTGGAGGGTATTCCGGGGATCAACGCCCCCCGCAGCCCGGTCCACGACCAGGCCTCCCGATGGATCAAGGCGTGATCAACCAGGCTGTTACTGTATATATGTTGGTAGAATTACCGACAATATGTAAAGTAAAAGGACACAAGTGCAACTAATGAGAGATTTTATTGTGACAACGTTTCACTTTCATGAGCTCTGTCAAGCCGTAACGGCTTGACAGAGCTCCTAGAGAGCGAAACGTTGCCACAATAAAATCTCACATTAGTTGCACTTGTGTCCTTTTACTTTACAGGCTGTTACTGCTGGCCGCACGTACTCCAACGTACGAACCACAGCCCGGGCGATCCGGCACCGACTTTATCTGCCCAGCTCCCTCTTGAAGGCAGCCAGGGATCTATTGATGATTTCCCTTATGTATGGTGGGAGGCTGTTGAAGTCTTGGGGTATTTTGGGGGTATTTTGCACCGCCTGCCCAATCTTTTACTTTCGTAGGGAATGATTTCTGTGTGCAGATTAGGGACCATTCCTTCTGGGATTTTTCAAGTGTAGATTATGATATATTTCTCTCACCTGCATTCCAGCGAGGACAAGTACTTCCAAGTGTTCCCACCAGTAAAGGTTCTCTGTACATTCTCTAGATCTGTAATTTCAAATGCTTGAACGGAGTTGTTAATGTACAGCAGTATTCCAGCCTAGAAAGAACAAGGGCTATTAACTCTCTGGGATTATTAATCCAAATAAAATCTTCGGGACACTGTTCGTAGGGTGCACGGTGGAGGGAGGTGGGATAAGTCAACACTGGGTAGTGAATAAGTGGGTGGGGTGAAGATAAGTGGGTGATAGTGTTATGTCTGGCAAGAGTACCGGGGCATGCTACCACCTGACTGCTGACTCATCAACGGTGTATATTCATACTACCCATCTGAGTGGCCCGCCATAGAGACAAACTACCACAGACACCTCCTTATCCAACACCGTACGACAGCAGGTGTTTCGCCGCGTCCCCGCTATAGGGCCAACAACTATTACGTTCATATGTCAGTAGACACCACCAGCACTATATACACAATACCGCACACCAACGGTTGTTTCTTGCCGGTCCTCCGTCATAGGGCCAACAACTACCACATTCGCATGTGTCAGTACACACCACTATCTATAGCCCTGCACGCCAGTGGTTGCCTCACGCCGCGCCTCCACCGTAAGGAGAATGGCACTGCTAAACGGATTAACATGACAAAAATCAGTGCCAAGCTATTTTTCCTGAGCGCAACATACTCTTGTGGTACATCTCATCCATTTGACATACCTAACCCGTTACTCCTTCTACATGACGGTGTCAGCCATCGAAGACAGTGAAAGACTCCAAGGGGACATCAACCATCTCTTTAAACGGGCCGCGGAAAACAACATGAAGTTCAATATGGAAAACCCGAGGAAATTAAAATTGTATAGGAATATAAAACAAATTTTAACCACACAATAGAGCAAAAAACTAATGTGAAGAACCTAGGAGTGATAATGTCAGAGGATCTCACTTTCAAAGATCACAACGATGTTTCTACCACATCTGCTAAGAAAATGACAGGATGGATAACGAGAACCTTCAAAACTAGGGATGCTAAGTCCATGATGCTCTCTTCAAATCGGTTGTTCTCTCTAGGCTGGAATACTGCTGTACACTAACGGCCCCTTTCAAGGAAGGCAAAATTGCAGACCTGGAGAATGTACAGAGAACTTTCACAGCACGCATAAGTACGATAAAGCACCTAAACTACTAGGAATGGTTGAAATTCCTTGATTTGTATTCCCTGGAATGCAGGCGAGAAAGACAAATGATAATATACACTTAGAAAATCATAGGGGGACTAGTACCAAATTTGCACACGAAATGCACTCTCTACGAGAGCAAAAGACTCGGCAGACGGTGCAACATCCCCCAATGAAAAGCAGGGGCGCCGTGAGTAAGCTAAGAGACAACACAGTAGATAAGATAAGATTAAGATAAGATTTCGTTCGGATTTTTTAACCCCGGAGGGTTAGCCACCCAGGATAACCCAAGAAAGTCAGTGCGTCATCGAGGACTGTCTAACTTATTTCCATTGGGGTCCTTAATCTTGTCCCCCAGGATGCGACCCACACCAGTCGACTAACACCCAGGTACCTATTTGCTGCTAGATGAACAGGACAACAGGTGTAAGGAAACGTGTCGAATGTTTCCACCCGCCGGGAATCGAACCCGGGCCCTCCGTGTGTGAAGCGGGAGCTTTAGCCACCAGGCCACCGGGCCAGTAAGTGTCAGGGGTCCAAGACTGTTCAACTTCCTCCCAACATACATAAGGGGGATTACCAACAGACCCCTGGCTGTCTTCAAGAAGGCGCAGGACAGGCACCTAAAGTCAGTACATGATCAGCCAGGTTGTGGTTTGTACATCGGTCTGCGTGTCGCCAGCAGTAACAGCCTGGTTGATCAGACTCTGATCCACCAGGAAGCCTGGTCACAGACCGGGCCGCTGAGGTGTTGATCCCCAAAATCCTCTCCAGGTATACCTACCGGGAATCAGCACCCCTGTACATCAATTTGATTAAAGCTGAGTTGATTAGCCAAATTGTTAGTACTCGCAATTCACTCCAACGCAGGCATTATAGAGATGTTTCGAATATCCGCATCCGCATAACATTCACACAATTTCTTACATCCACATCCGCATTTTACTGTAAATAGATATCCGCATATGCATCCGCATCTGCAAAATAAGTAAAACATCCTCATACACATCCACATCCGCCGATATCTAAATTTTCACATCCGATACATCGGCACTGAGTGCCTAGTACTGCCTAGTAGAGATGTATCGGATATCCGCATCTGCGGAACATCCGCACGTCTTACAGCCGCATCTGCATCCGTATCCGCATTTTACTGTAAACAGATATCCTCATACACATCCGCATCCGCAGATATATAAATTTTCACATCCGACACATCCTAAGGCATTACATGATAAGGGAGGCTTTGAAAGAAAACAAGTTTCCGTTGTTAATTCCCTCTCTTTAAGATTAGAATAGTGAAAAGCCTTGGATCCGTTATCGCTGAAGTGCACTTAATGCATCGCTGCATCATTGTCTAATTTAGCAGTATTTCTCGTTCTCGTGAGGGGTTTTCCAGTGGGCTTACTGGCAACCAGTACCTCAAATATACTGTAGTTATAAATTGCCTGAAAAGTACGACAATTGCAATTGTCAATATAAAACAATACAAATAAATATAATGACACGCCAATTCGTTAAATATAAAAAATGCCTGCAGGCACTAAACATATAAGTTGTTTAAAATGCTTTAAATAAAGGAAAACAGGTGTAACTGTGTAAAATTAAATTGGTCCTGGGAAATGTTAAAGGAGGCTCAAGACAGGTAAGGCCAAGGCAGCATACATCCACACTGACACAAAACTAATCACAAGGATCTACCGGCACCATCTTGTCACTTATGTCTGAGACAACAACGCCCTGTGGGAAGGGAAGTCTGACTGGTGTCTCTCTGCCCCATCAAGTTATATGATGTATCTATATAGCAGTAAGAATTGCCGACAAATAATGTTAAATTTACCTACCTGTAAATAAAGGTTCGTCTTGACATAGTCCTTTTACCATGGTTCATCTGCAATAACTTCCACCATCCCGAGAATGTGACCTCAGCACTAGTAGCCTTTCCTAGATATTGCCCTGATCGATAATACTGATGACTACGTTGATTAACAATTAGACCAACATCTCATCATATCATCATACATTAAGAGGATGATGTTCACACGCCAAACACACAATTGACATATTCCACCACAGTCAACGTTCACATATAATATTAATCTGCAGATGCAACGCCAACATTAAATCCTCCCTTGGATTCATCACATGAAAACCATTGTATAAAAACGTTAATTTTCTTACAAGGTTCTCAACGAGAATTTCTTAATGTTTCCTATAAACTTATGAATATTATTTCTTTATTTAAACTTAAGCTAGGCTACATAAACCTAAGAAAAAACAAGTACAATAAACCAAAAATGAACAAATTAAAAAAAATGGCCGCGATACGTTTGGCAACGAAGTGACAAGCATAACCAGGAAACGTTCAAAATCTTCACAATTATTACTGGTGCTGCGGGAATGGCTTAAAGAAAACGTTGTGATAAAGGTATCTCCAGATATTCACAGTGTTGTATCTGTCGCTAGGTACACTAGTACCTACTAAGCACAAATTACTAAATTACTTACATTCGTTGTAAGCAATATTATAATATTCATGCATAATTAGTCACTTTAAATATAATCATAATAATTGTTCTTAGTAATTACATAATTATTGTATTACAGTGTATAATGTATACAGTGGACAACCACCATCCTCGCCACTACCACCTTCGCAAAGTCACTGAACTCCCGCCTTTCTCGTGACTACCTTCATCCACCAACCAAGATACTAGACAAACCCCGCCCTTACAACAGCTATCGTTACCCACTATCCACATCAATGGTATAACAATCGTCAGGGTAACGATCGCAACTCTCGCATACAAGCATTCCTAACAACAATTCCATAGGATTCAGGACAAACCTACAAGCAGCAACAATACCAGTAGGTTAAGAGTCTACAATAAAAATTCCAATAATTTTAATAGCAGTAACAATTTAATCATGAAGCAAATCTAGAAGAAACAAATTCAATATCAGTAATAATTCTAAAGGCTCCATCTATTCCAGAAACAGCAACAAGGATAAAGGATCAAGCTATTTTAAAAACAACAAGTATTCCAGAAGCAGCAACAGCAACAAGGACGCAGGCTCCAACAGTAAATGCCTCAGTGGGGCAACGGGACAGGTGAAGCTAAATTTAGAATTGATTCTCCGGCAGAGTGAAAAATTAAATGATCTGCCAGAGCTAGGTGCCCCCCCCCCTCTCCTGGGACAACGAAGAGGGGTGGGGAACTGGCAGGCAGCATAACAAAAAGAGATACCTACAGGGGTGTGGGAATGAAAGCATCCCTCTTCATCCAGGATGATTTATGGATGAAAAGACACACAGGACATCTTTACTGGAAACGTTTCGGTTCTGGAACCTAAGTTACTCCAAGTGATGAAAGAATGAGAAAACACAGTATAGAACGTATAACTGATGAAAGCACGTCACTACTGAAGACCAACCAGGTGAGGTGCGAGGTTCTGACCAGAGCTTTGGTAAGATGAGGAAGGAAGAAGGATGGGTAATGATGGAATGTGTGAAAGGTTTGGGAGGGTGGAGGGGAGATGGAGGGGGAGGTGGGGTTTTAAAGGTAAGTGAAGGTGTCAGATTATGTAGGTGCCGTGTCACATGGCAGGAGGGAATCAGCGTGTAGTATCATATATGCAAGAGTCGTAGACACTGAATATCACCAACTTAATATATGAATTACGTGTTTATTAGAAAACTATAAATGTAGATAGAAACTTGGAAGAATATTGTAACGTACGTGTGTGTGTGTGTGTGTGTGTGTGTGTGTGTGTGTGTGGTGTGTGTGTGTGAGTGTGTTGTGTGTGTGTGTGTGTGTGTGTGTGTGGGTGGGGAGGGGGGTGCGCACGCGCGCTACACATCCGTAACAATTCTGAGTTTTTTTCTTTTAACCTCGCAGCCCGGCCTGGAGCCAGACTGTTGCTTATTCAACCAGGCTGTTGGCGGCCCGTCATCCCAAGTAGCTATCACAGGCAGGCTGATCTGGTACTTCGCAGAGTTGGTCGTCCAGTTTCTTTTGGCATCAGAACAGAAAATGTACAGAGAAAGACAAATGGAGAAAGTAATATTGGTAAAGCTCTAAACTTGCAGGGGTTATACAGCGGCTGGGGGAATGGGAAGTAATTAAATGTGACTCGAGTTAAGGGAGGATAGGCCTCATTCTTACATCAAGGATCACTCACCAGCATCAAGGCAACTTCTTCCCCCTTTCCTTGAAGGGAGAAAAGTTTGCGTCTTGCCCCCCGGATGCTGCTGCTGCAAGTCCACTTGTTCCATCACAAGTTTCTAACAGCCATTAGTCTGCCCGCCGGATTGCTCCAAAAATTTATGCCTTTGTAACCAGAGCGGAAAACTCCTGGAAGAAAATCTTGCACAACGGTACGGTATATACACAAAAATATATATTAAGTGTATATACACAAAGGTATATGCCGGTGTATACACACTAGGTATATATCAAATGTACGTAATACAGAGGGGTGTGCATACCCGTGTGTGTATATATCAGTATACATAATACACCCTGGTTTATTATGTACATGAAGACTCCTCTCTGGAAGGGACCCACTGTAACTTAATTAACAAACCTGCACACTAAGGTACACTCACCAGGTTTTTAAGGTAGGTGCTGCTACATCATAGTCTAGCTTCCCACTGGACTCAGGCTTCTTTTTGCTAAACTGAAAGGGTTCTTGATCCAAGGAATTTGCGCAATTCTCCTGTTTCTTTAATCAAAACATGATTACCGCCTATTCTCCAAAAGTTATACGACTCCTACGGATTTAGTGTTTTTTAAATATTTGGTTAATTACTTAGTTTACTTTTAAGCTCAAAATTAGCCTAAATTATTATAATTATTATATTTAAGGGAAAGCGCTAAAACCCACTGGGTCAGAGTCTAGGGAAATGGAAGGCAAAGAAGTTCGATCCAAGGAAAGGGAGGATACATCCAATTCCTTACATCAACAGCCCCTCACTGCTACCAAGGAACCTTCTTTAACCCTAAAACTGTCCAAACAGATCTATGTTCACATGCGTAGTGCTCCTAAAGTAGATCTACATTTTTTTTTACATATTTTCAAATATAACAAAAAAAAACGTAGATCAAAGTTTTTTTTTTACACGTTTTCAAGTGTAAAAAAAACAAAAAGAAGATCTACGTTTTTTACATACTTTGAAATGTTGAAAAAACGTAGATCTACGTTTGGACAATTTAAGGGTTAATGGAAAAAAATAAAGCCTAAAATAAGGGCAAAGTTTTCCTCCCCATCCACACAGCCAGCGAAAACGAACAAAAAATAAAAATATGGAAATTTGCAGTTTTGCGACTTTGGTGACAGAAGTTGTGAAAGGCAGCAGTGGCTGGTTCATAGGACGAGCTATATATCCTTTATTGTTAATTCCCATCTTAATTATATTTATAACGGGTTTGTTTGGTATTCTGGTAGCGGGGAGTTAATGATACGTCTTCGGAGGCTTCTTCGTTTATTGTTAAGTCGTGGTGGGTACACAGGCTTGTGTGTTTGTGCCCATGGCCCGGGCAGGGCCATCCCACGAGAGAGAGCTACTAGTACTTGTGTCTTGCTGCTAGGCAGCTGTGTGAGTGAGGCGGAGGCATGGGCCGGCAGGCTGGCGTGCCTACCGAGAGGCCTGGCTACAGAGGGCAGCACCTGAGTGGCGCGAAATATGAACTAAGCTGGCAGACAGCATGGGCTGTCTGTGCAGACAGTACAGGCTGTCTACATATTTCATCGACACTATTTTTAAAACAAGAAAAATTAAATGACTGCTGTGTTGCATTCTACAGCACAAGCACGAGCATTTACTGCTGGAAACTAATATTCCCATTAAAGCGAGAGTATATGTAGGGGGAAAACTAGGAGGAGAGGTGAACTAGGAGGGGTGAAAAACTAGAGGGAAAGAACTGAGAGGGAGAGAGGGGAGGGGTTGAGAGTGGCGAAGCTACCTGTAGCAATATCACATATTTCGAAGTAACGTTAAGTACAAGATAATTCTCTTTTTGTTCAACGATCTCTATGTTGTGGATGTGGAACGTTAAAACCCATGTTGAGTCATTCAGCCGCAGGTGTTCAGAGGAGTTTCTACCGAGGCAGGCCAGCCAGGCTGCCCCGGTGACCACTTTTATCAGCCAGGATGTTTTGTCACTGTAGGCTACACACGCCTTATCAAGTCAAGTGTGCACACAGCGTATTTAATGTTTCTTTGTTTTGTGTTAATATCTCGTGTGTGTGTGTGTGTGTGTGTGTGTGTGTGTGTGTGTGTGTGTGTGTGTGTGTGTGTGTGTGTGTGTGTGTGTGTGTGTGTGTGTGTGTGTGTGTGTGTGTCAGTTACCATTTTGTCCTAGGCACATGTCGATTAGACACTAGGCCTGGTGTGTGTGTGTGTGTGTGTGTGTGTGTGTGTGTGTGTGTGTGTGTGTGTGTGTGT